ATTGTCATTATTATTCATTTTTTATTTTTTTTGATGTTTTTTTTTGTTTGGAGAAAAAATTTTTTTTAGTTTTGTTCATGAATTGAATTTGAAATTTATCAAAGAAGAAAAAAAATTTTTTATTTTTATTTTTAACAGTCCATTGATTTCAAATGAATTTTGTTGTTACCTATTTTTTATTTATTGAATATGATGTAATTTGTATTTATTGTTGTTGTGGGTGGTGGTGTTGATAGTGATGGTGGTGGTGGTGTTGGTGGTGGTGATGACGGTGATGGTGATGGTGGTGTTATTGGTTTTTTAGGAGAGTGTTTATTAGGGTGGAAATTTAATTATTCAATAATTTTTTTCTTTTAAAGAAAATTGATTTTGATGTCTTCAATGCCATCATAGTAACAAATATTTGAAATTAAAAAATTTGAAAAAAAACACAACTAAATTCAATGAATGAATGAATGAATGAGGATTGCTTGTTTTTGGGGGTAACAATAACAACAACAAAAGCAAATAAAGAAGGAGAAGACAGTTATTCATTTGAAAAAAAGAGTTAGATACAATTTCAATGAACTGACTTTGACCTTAAAGATTGAAATATAAAATAAGTTAATCAATGAAGTGATTATTTTATTTATATATTTAAACATATAAATATTAGTGGATGTGTCAATTAATTTCGTGGATTAGTTGAAGTGAGACATTAACGCCGTCGGATGACAGCCGGCTCAGTGGTCTAGTTGGCTAAGCGTCTGGCGCGACTGATAGATCCTGGGTTCGAATCCCGCGAGGCGGGGTCGTGGATGCGCATTGCTGAGGAGTCCCACAATACGACGAGACAGCCGTCCAATGCTTCCAGCTTGTCCATGGGGGTCTAGCTTCAGTCGACTCATGATCCCAACTGTTGAAATTATATAAATATTTATACAAAGAGGCAACAAAAAAGTAGGTCACACACTTCGTCATTTGATTTATGTGGGGGTTGGGATCTTACACGAGTCTCTAGACTGACACAGTTAGTTTTCTTACGAGAACACTTTCCGGAGCCTTTGATCCAAAGGTCTGATCCACAAGGCTGTGGAGCAACGTAAGGAGATGCAATCCAATAGTTGCCAGTGTCCAAAAATAGGTTCATACACCATTTGTTCCTTCGGGGTCCTTGAACCGATGTACACCATTTGTTTGAATTCAGGGTTTTCCAACATCTTTAGGTGGACTCTCTGTGTTCACAAACTCGGTTAAAGCTCCGGACATTCGTGTTTCGTCCTTTCGATTTTGTAAAGAACACCCCCGTCACGAGGAGGCAGTGCGTAGGACTTCCGTGATAGTTGTTGTATGCACGTGGTCATGTGAGAGGATTTCGAGAGAGAGACAGAGAGAGAGAGAGATGACTCTTTCCACTCTCGGCCGTAGCAGGGCATTTGGAGGTTAGCGATTACAGATCGGTATATGACTAGACGAAAGCGATTTGATCCTAACTCGGTATTATAATGAAGGTTAAAGGCTTGTCGTGAGACCTGGAAATTCTGAATCCCATAATTGATGGATTAATGAATGCTTAATGTTTAGGGTGGCACACATTAAAACGAATGATTTGTTTAGTGCTCTTTAGTTTTCGATGATTGTCGAAATAAGATTAGTCTGTGATGTACAACGGAAAAATAATTAAATGTTTCCTTTGACATGAGGTTGCCTACTGAAAAGTATAGAAATTTACTTAGTTATAATTTTCAAGTATTTTCAAGAGAATTTCATAATGTATGGAAATTAGCTAAAGGGTATTTGGAGGTAAGCGAAGTAATGGTTAACTGGCTCATCTTGTTTTAACATTTCTTAGCAATCTATACTTGTAGTCATGTGTTATATTGTACCAGTCAGCTTCAAGTCTCTTAGTAACGACTGTACATTAAAATTATTGAATTGCCAACTAAACAGTACACATTGTTCAACATCATTAGTTTGACAAAATAGTTCATTCACCTCCGTATTCATAAAATTCCAGTTTTGATTACCTTTGAAATAGAAATATTCTTAATCTGCTTTGGCTTTTAAAATGTACTCAATCTGTTTTCATTTTATGAGGAAAATCATGTTCAAATTACAAACACAGAACCTTACAAAACGTCTTAGACAAATGTTTGTCGATTTAGAACAAGTAAAAACTATTTATTAAATTATAAGTAGAGGTGATGGTGCCTAGCAATGGAATCTAGATGTGCGTTTCATCCTATTCGGGACTCGTCAGCCGGATGTACCTGCATCCTAGAATTGATGTTTACTTCGAGACTCAAACCCAGTACCGTTCACGTCACACACCATCGAGTTATCCACTTAGCTGCTAAGTCCTGATAGCCAATACAAAACTGAATTAAACTTCATCCCGTTACACAAGTCAGTGACTATCTGCACTCAGTAGCTAAATGGATAACACGATGGTATTTTAAGTGAACGGTACTGGGTTCGAGTCCTAGAGTGAATGGAACGAACGTCCTGGATTCCACTACTGGCCACCATCATTTCCGTTTATAATGTTTTTGACTGAAGATAATATCGAAGGAATCCTCACAAGATGCACTCCTATAAATCAATGGGAAGATTCAAACAACCAATACATTCTAACTTCATTATCTTTGACAACCGGAACACTTAGCTCAAAATAGTCCAATAGTAACTAAATATTGAATCATAAAAAAATATTTGTATCCACTTAATCTGTTGTTAGGTGAATCTTTCATATGACTGTTGCTAACACTAAAATATGTTCAAATATACAAATATTCTTAATTCGAGAATACATTTGATCATGCTTAATTAACTTTGAAGTACTATCAAATAATGTTTATTCATGCATCTATTCTAATATCAGCTTATTCGGACCAAATGTTACTTCATTATGAGTACAACAAAACTAGTTGACACAATTGTTTCATGTTTCATATTCAATAATAACTTAATTTCATATCAACTTAGTTACACATTAGGCATAAATCCTTACAAACTTCTTTACTATTGGTTAAAAGTATGACTTGTTAACAAACCAATCAGATTTAAGATAGCAAACTGTCGGTTCAAAACGCAGTGACGGATAATTTATATCTTATTAAAAAGTAAGATATATGTAACATTTTATGAACATTTAATTACCAAGACAAATCAAATTAAGAAATATGATTAGTTTGAAGAATAGGGACTGATTTCAAGCATTCTTTAGATGATGTTGAGAATGTGATGAATTTTCTATGGAGGAATTAATAGAAACCAAATGGAATGGGAATGGATATAAGACTAACATTAAATTAAAATTATTCACAATTAAAGCTTTTTTTCCAAGTTATTCGTAAACACTACTGTTCCCTCTTACCATTAGCCCTAAACCATAAACCAATTTAGAGGAAATGACCTAAAAAAAATGAGGAAATTGCCCAGATCTGGGGGAAATTTCGGGGTTTTGGTGCCACTTCCCCAACATTGGGAGATTGGGAAGGGTCACAATTTTAATCTTAACGTATTTTTGAGGTTTTATGTGAGTATTATTCATTTACATCACCTTTATTCTGATTGGCTAAGATTTGATAGATATTACTTTTTCCCAGTCATTTTGAGAGTCATTCAACATCAACAGTAAAGTAGGCGAGACTCTAATTAATGGACGAGCCAATCAGAAGCATTTTAGAGATTTCAAGGTTACGGTGCCAACTTCAGTGCTTAATGCTAACGTACGATCGGTTCACATGGAATGTGGTACAAAACGTGATAATTGAGCGGCTATAACAAATAAAACGGCAAGACTATAATTTGTGAACGAATCAATCAGATATAAATAAGATAATAGATCTCGAATTTTGGTATGAAAGTCTTTCATCCATTTGGCTAAATAGAGTTTTGGTATTATAGTTGATGTCAGTTCGTGATGAAAAACCCATATATAATTGCTGACTAAGGCAAATTACGACAATTATTGCGAACTGGATAACAAAAGCACCATTAACACTGGCTGCAGCCAGGTACTACAATATATACGATGTTTGGAGAGCGTACAGACTCCTACATAGGCTTGGTTATGTGCATCGTGTGGTTATCCACAAGTAGTATTTCGTGCACTCAACAACCGGAGTGCACATAAACAATATTGAAGCTATGTGGTCGAGGTTGAAAGAGTATTTGAGACTTTATCATGACTCCAGAGGCCGACTATTCTGTAGCCATATGGATGATTTCCTCTACTGCATGCATTAGGATTTTAGAACCTCTGAACCTCTTTCTAACTATGACAAGTTTTTGAACCACGTCTAAGAAGTGTATCCAGTTTAATTCTTTGGTTTTGTATAATATATTTTTACTCTATACTGACTGTTTGATGATTGGCTAATATTTCTCAAAGTTGTTTGAGATTCGTTCAAAGGTCGTCCATAAATTAGAGTCTCGCCGTAAAGCAGGTTTCTATTTTATTTTATTTATTTATTTGAACACATAAATATTAGTACAAAGAGGCACCAAATAGATATGCACCACATAAATCAGTCGATTTGTGATTGGGCTGTGATACTGTCTGGGTGCCCAGACCGAAGTAAGTGACCTTCTTAGGAGGCCACACCCGGAGCCTTTGATCTAGAAGTCTGATCCACAAGACAATGGAGTAACATAAGGAGATGCAGTCCCATGGTAGCCGGTGAAAAACAATTGGTTCATGCACCATTTGCTCCTTCAGCATACTGGAGCCCATGTATACCATTGGTTTGGAATGAGGGTTTTCCTACTCCCATAGGTGGACTATCCATATCCACCAACCTGGTTACAGAGCCAGACATTCAATTTTCGTCCTCTGAATTTCGTAAACAACAGTAATGCCGCCAAAGGTTAGTGAGTAGGAGAATTGACTCTCTCTATTCTCGGCTGTTTCAGAGTATTTGGGGATGGATTTCTATTTTCAATCTACTATCTCTAAATAAATAAATAAATGGACAAATATAAATTTTTCCCCTCTCATTGTTTATTATCTTTTCCAGCGTTTATTCACAGTAATATTAGAAGCATATGATTTAGTTAATCAAAATGAAAAATATTTAATTGATCGAGCTATACATCGTGGTCTATTACGTCCATTAATTTCTTCTACAAAACAATCTACAGATTGGCATCAAGTTACTATATCAACACAATATTCCGGTTATACATTTTGTATACAATTAACATGTGAACTAAATCATTATGGTAATGATTGTACAAAAGTATGTCAAACAAATGATAATCATACAAAATTTAAATGTGATGCAAATGGTGATAAAATATGTGAACCTGGTTGGAGTGGAACTGAATGCGATAAAGGTAATTGAATGAATTATTTATTATTCTGTCTGTTTATCTTTAACCTTCTACAATCTTTTAATTTGTAAGTAGCATCTGTCACAAATCGATCTCATATGAGATATCACAGAAAACCAAGATGATCTAGATAAGTGTTTTGTGCCAGTAATGAACAACCTAGTTTTACATATTTACTAGAAATCATAACTGGTGGAATTCGGACATATCGGGGATGAGACATTTATCATTAATAGGACTGGATAATCATTAAACAAAATATGGAAAGCTGGTTGAAATTGAAATTGTACTATTTGGCACCGACCCACTGGTTCAAATGACTAAGCGTTTGCCTTATTATCATTATTACTGTAGGTAGTTTATAGAGACTGTTGGCTTTAATAATTTAAATTAAGGATATGAAGTTCTTGGGTTCGATGGCTAGTTGGGTTTTGAGTGTGAAATTCTATAGAGTCTCATACTAAGACCAACCATTTGTCTGGTGATCCTTGGTGAGTTTATTCTGTGATGAATATAACCAGTTATTTTTCATGCCTATTTGTGTGATGTAAATATTGTTCAGATGGGTAATGATGAATATAAGTTATTAGACTGACCCTAACTAATTTCTAAGTGATTACCATCTAAGGGTTGAGTTTATGAGTCATTTGAAGCGAGACCACCATAAAAAACTCGGAAGCACTGGACAGTCGTTTCGTCCTAGTATGGGACTACCCAGCAGTGCTCACCCACGATACCGCCCAGCAGGATTCGAAACCGGGATCGATCGGTCTAGCACGCGAGCACTTAACCTCTAGACCACTGGGCTGGCATCCATGGTGGTCTAACTTTAATTCGCTTATGGACTTAATCATTATTATTATTACAATATCCACAAAAAACCTTCTGATTACTATTTAGTTTGATTCTAGTTTCATCATTGTTCATAATGATGACATACTTAGATGTATCATATTTGGACACCCTCATGCTGGGAATAACTAAAATTCACTTGACAAGAACCATATTCTTCCCTCTTTTAAATGAAATATTGTAAGTAATACAGGTTGAAGCGAGGCAAAAACTATCGCTGTTGAATAAACTAAGGGATTTCATTTGGATATTATTGTAGTGGCTTTGCTTCGTTAATCGACCACCTCGATGTTTGAAATCAGAAAGCAATGAGAAGCAGCAACTACAGTTTATTAGCGAATAGCCCAAATCACAAAGCTATAAGCATATTAAGCGAATTTGAAGCGGAGAGGCGAATAAGTATATATGAGCAAATATATAGGCAAATTTATAGTCATCAAATTGCATAAGGGCACAGCAAGCCAAAGCAAAAACTAATAATAGGATTTAAGTACATATGCACATGGGGAGGAGAATGAATCATCGAGTGATATTTAAGCGACCAACATTTTAGCTCGAGTCCGTCATGTGCTCAAGTGTTCATAACATTACAAAGAAGTTGACGTATTGCTACTGTTCAAATAACATTGTCTGTTAAGTAGATTGATGAAAGGGCCTAACAAAAATTAACCATGATAGAAATTGGTTGTAGGATAGTTGGTATATTATATCATCCATTTAATCCATATTTTAATACAGTAGCTAAGTGCATAACGTGATGGTGTTTGAAGCGAACGGTACTGGGTTCGAGTCTCAGAATGAACATCAACTCTGAGATGCAGGCACATTCAGCTGATAAGTCCCAAATAGAACGAAACGCACATCTTGTATTCCACTGCTAGCCACTAACCATTTTACTTTAAAAAAAACTTGTGATTTAAGGCTATATCAAGGTAATCCGCCCAGGATATTTATATGCCAACAAGAGACTAGTCAATTTCAGTCCCTAAGTAACAATCGAAAGATACAAGTAAAAAAAACAACACCAAGTGAATTTAAATATTAATTTACTTTTCCTTTTTTTTTCTTTTTTTTCGGTTATTTTTGCAAAAAAAAATCACTTCTGAACTTTTCTTTCCTTTACTCCTTCTCTTTACCCCCCCCTCTCTCACTTTATTTTGTTCCTTCATAATCAATCATAAAATCAAAAGACAAATTCCATTTTCAATTTTCAAAGTTTATGAAATGAGAAAAACAAAAAAAAGAAGAGAGAAAAACAAAAAAAAAAGAAAAATATTGACGATTGTAATGAAAAAGATTTAAATTGATTAAAATAGTGACATTTTTATTTTATTATTATCTAAACAACTATTACTCCCAAATGCTTTGGTACAGTCGAGAGTGAAGAGAGTCAACTCTCCTACTCACTAACTTTTGGAGGCATTACTGTTGTTTACGAAATTCAGAGGACGAAAATCGAATGTCTAGCGCTGTAACCAGGTTGGTGGATATGGAGAGTCCATCTAGGGAAGTTGGAAAACCCTCATTCCAAACCAATGGTATACATGAGCTCCAGTGTCTTGAAGGAGCAAATGGTGCATGAACCAATTGTTTTTCACCGGCTACCATGGGACTGCATCTCCTTATGTTGCTCCATTGTCTTGTGGATCAGACTATTTTGTCAAAGGCTCCGGTTGTGACCTCCTAGGGAAATCACCTACTTCGTTTTGAGTACCCGGTCAGTATTCTAGCCCTCACATAAATCGAATGATTTATGTGGTGCATATCTATTTGGTGCCTTCTTGTAACAATGGTAATGTTTTTCTTGTTTTGTACCATTTTTTATATGATAAAGAAAACAAGCGAAACAAACTGTAATTTAGATGATGTGTAACTATTGAACAATTTTATAAGAATAGATTTATATTATAGAATTAACAATAGTGAGTTAGATAATCATTATACTCATTTACTTACTTACGCCTGTTACTTCTTTTAGAGAAGTATAAACTGCTCACTAACATTCTCCACCCAACTCTATTCTCAACAATCCTTTTCACTTGTTTACAGTTGCTTTTCATTCTTTTGATCTGTCCTTCTAATTTCCGATGTAATGTGTTGTTTTGTTCTTTCTCTTTTCCATTTCCTTTCACGATTTCAAGTTAGCGCTTGCTTCATGATGTAGTTTGATGATTTCCTCAATGTATTTCCTATCCACTTCTAGCGTTTTTTTTTCTTAATTTCTTCCTCAGCTGGAAGCTGATATGTTCTCTCCCACAACAGACTGTTGTTGATGATATAATCATTATTAACCATAAAGAACTTAAACAGACTATTTATTATTACAATGTAAAACTTATCAACAATGGACTCTGACAATTTCATCAGGGATCGCACTCATGACTGCTCACTGACTTGGTATCTAATAATTCTCTTTTGAACTTCATATCCAAATAGACAATTCATTTTGAGCAAGTTTGAAACAAATGTAACTAATTACATTTGTTCAGAGATATTCTATTTATGATCACAATTCAAAGCAGTCAGTCTTAAACTTATTATGATGTGTTCATGGTAATAAACTTTAAATCAAGAAAACAAAAATGAAGTCATTCACGGTGATTAGTAGAGAAAATCAGAATGCATGTTTTGTTCCAGTTGAAACTTGTCAGTTGGATGTGCCTGTACCCTAGTGTTGACATTCCCACTAGGGTTTAAACCAGTTTTCTGGCTATCTTAATTCAATAGTCTAATGAATAGCACCATTATGTGTTGCGTAATAGTTATCATTTTCGACTCTTAGAGTAAATACCAATACCAATTCATGTATATCCCATTAACTTAGTTCCCAGTATAATAAAATATCCATTCTAGATTTCAATGTTATCTACTAACTAAAATATTATCAGTATTTATTCAAAGGGATCATATGAGAACATTGACTAAATGAGTTTGTATGTCAACAAAGATTGAGCCAACTCTGTTTCCAATGGAGGTATCTAAAAAGGAAATTGGACTGGTGGTGGTCTTAGTGACCTGAGAGCGTGACTGCAGTGCCCAAGCGACAACTACTTGAGGACGGTCACACACAACCTTTTGTGGATAATTTTCGTGTTAGCTCCGTAATTGTTGAGACCCTACCACCGGAGATGGATATCGTGGGATAAGGCGGGGTGTGTATTCCTAGGGTCGACCTTTTCTAACCCTACACGCAGCATTGCTGTTACGCTGGTTGTCTGAAGGAAACACCTTACTACCGTCACACCTCCGTACAGTTAGCAGTACGACTTCACCTCTGGACCTTGGGTTTGTTGCTTTTAGTCTTACCGCTCTTCAACATACCTGTTTGGGATGGTAGGACCATGAGGAACGAATGTTCCAACTAGTATAGCTCAACTGGTTCATCACGATAGGCGAGCCCGACCATCACGTCAAGGTAGCAACAACGGTCGGGCTGTTTCCAATACAAACAATATGGAAATAGAACTTCTTACAGATAAAACATAATCTTCATTATTATTGTTAATTATTCTATTGAATAATTTAAAGATATTATAGACTGAAATAATTAAATATAAATTATATGATAATTGTTATATTCCATATGTTTTATACTTAGCAATATGCAATATTGGTTGTCATCCAGTTCATGGAACTTGTTCAAGACCAGGAGAATGCGAGTAAGTTGATGATTATCTCTAATGAATTTAAAAAAGATTGAATAATTATATAGAAAAAAAACTGATTAGTCATTGAGTAGTGGCCAATGTTATATTTATCAGTATTGGCTTGTAGACATTATTAAGTTCTTGATTGAGATCATGAACCCGGTTGATGTTTGACCACCATTGAAAACCTGGAAGCACTGGACAGCCATTTCATCTTATTGTGAGACTTCTTAGCAGTGCGCATTCACGATCACGTTTGAAGGGATTCGAACACAGGGCCTTCAGTCTCGCGCGCGAATGCTAAACCTCTAAACCAGTGGAGCTAATCCTTATCGGGTAGAGACAAGTATCTACCTTAGTACAATGTAAGATGGTCGCGCAATTTCGTGGATTGATTGAGGTTAAACATCAACACTTTTGGATACCGGCTCAACGGTCTAGAGGTTAAATGTTCGTATATGAAACTGGAGGCTTTGGATTCTCGTTCTTTCTGGTTTGAGGTTGTGGATAGGCACTGCTGAGGAGTACCATACTAGAACAAAACAACCGTCCAATACTTTCAGGTTTTCCATGATGGTAGCCTAGTTTTAATCGACTCATCAACTCAACTATTAAATCAATTTTTAATTTTTTTTCTTTTCTTTTCGAGTGAAGTAATTATCACCCTACACCTCCTCGCCCCCTCCCCCCTCCCCTAAAATATAATTTTTACAAAAAGAAAGCAAATAAACAAATTACCGATAATATGCATTGATTAGTTTTCCTTCATAGAACTGTAATAAAATGATAATTAAAATTGTTGGTCAAAATATTTTTGGCTTGTTTACTTGTCTACTGTTGATAAACTGATAACTGTTCTGACACATTTTTTGATTGAGATTAGGAATCGATTAATACTAAACCAATAATGAGAATCTAGAAGCACTGGATAGCTGTTTCGTTCTAGTATGAAACTCTTCAACAGTGCATATCCACGATTCCGTATGCGGGATTCGAATCCGGAATCTTTGATTTCATGCATGAACATTTAATCTCTGGATCATTGGACCGGTATCCAATGATGCGTGTGGTATGTGCTAATTATATTGACATAAGTAGTATGTGATATTATTCGTGAACAGAGGGTCTGGCAGCAGAGAAACAAGAGGATCGAACAGTAAAGAATGGAAACAGGATACAATTTGTATGAAAATGTAAGAACAATGAAGTCTGAGCCATTTTGAGACAATCGATGGACATTTTACAAATTACGTATTTACTTTATGATTGATTGTTAGATTATATTAACAAGTCCTTTAATTTTGTGTTAGATACATTCGATTGTCCCCACCCGTGTTCTGTTCACTACGGTGCGCACTGTTGAGGAGTTTCATACTAGGACGAAACAGGAGTCTAGTGTTTCCAGGTTTTAAACGGTAGTCTCACATTGATCGATTCATGATCTTATTCAAAACTTAACCATCTTCATAGCACTATACTGTCTCCTGTTTCCCAATTACTCGTAAAACAAAACAACACTAGTCACTTCTCTTGGCATTGAATTAGTGGTTAACCGTGAAATCTAAAAGATACATTTGATTCTATTTGAAATTAGTTCATTGAATGTTGTCAATGTAGAATTTCATACATCTACAGGTATCTTTTTTCAATTATGTTCCGTTACACTATTTAAACAGAGTTTGGGTGCAACTAGAAAGGTAATAAGTAAATCTAATTTAATGTTTACTACTTGATCTATCTCTAAAATCTCAATTAACATACTGCTTACCAGAATATGAAGGAAATATCAGTCAGTCAGTCAGTTACAACATAGGACCAGGCACATACATGCATCGGTCCAAGTTGCCAAACCTCATTAGCACAACAAGATGAACACCAAATTCATAAAAGTAGTGACTTCAATGGTAGTAATATATAAAAGAAAGATTGTGTATAAGGATATAGTACAGTAAGAAAGAATTAGTTCGTAGAAAGAAAGATATGAAGCGATTTTAATCTCATAGTTTAAGGGAAGACAGAGAGTGTATACACCTACGCCATTGTGATCGATTCTGAGCCATGTCACACACAGTCTTCAACCATTGGTAACGATAGTCACGCGGACCCCAACCAAGTAGTCTGCATCTACCAAAATGGCTCAGACTAGAAGTTAATGACTTGAAGCAACGATGCTACGTTTCGGTCTGGATACCCCTAACTTTCTTCCAACTGTCTCCAACAATAGTCAGCATTGCGCGTCGTGGTTATGTGATCAGTTACAAAGGATAAGAGTAAGACATACACACATATTGAGAAACAGTCGTTAATTCAGTCAAATCAATAATTATGATCATCAGTCATATGTATATAAGAAGAATATGGTTTTCATTAATTGATGGTTAGATAAAGTCAAATCACATCTAGATTAAATTGAGTTAAAGTAGTGAATGTTTACAATTAAGTTACAATTGGTCACTATAGTTGTGAATATAACTATGACACTCATTGTGAGTTATTAAGCATACAAGAAGAAACAAGAAAGGATATGTATTATTGGATGTTATTGTTGTATATATATTTTTAGAATTGAATTTATTAATCTCGGTTGATATTTGAGGTCATTTCACGCTGATGAAGAATGTGTAACCATCGAGGTGTGTGTTGTTTCCGGTGGTCGACATCTTTTTGTAGCTCTGCTTATCTTACTTACTTACGCCTGTTACTCCTCATGGAAGAGTATAGGTCATCTACAAGCACTCTCCACCCAACCCTGTCCTGGGCAATCCTTTCCAACTCTTTCCAGTTTTTATTCATCCTTTTTATATCTGCTTCTATTTCTCGACGTAATGTGTTCTTTGGCCTTCATCTTTTCCGCTTCCGATTCCAACGTCATTTCCTAATTTCCTCTTCAACTGAAAGCTGGTTTGTCCACTCCCACAGTAGGCTGTTGCTGATGGTATCCGGCCAGTGGATATTGAGTATCTTGTGTAGACAATTATTCATAAATACTAGTACCTTCTTGATGGTGGTTGTAGTAGTTCTTCAAGCCTCAACTCCGTACAGTGAAACTGTCTTGACGTTGGTATTGAAAATTCCCACTTTGAAATTGGCTGACAGACAGTGGGTTTGAGTTCCATATGTTCTGCAGTTGTAAAAATGCCGCCCTTACTTTGCCAATACGTGTACATCTGATCTTTCTTGTTCATCGATGATGCCTCCCAGGATGAAAGCCGAGATTCGGCTAATTACCTAATTAAATTATCTGAACAATAAAACTTCATAAAATCAAAAAGAAAATTATTATGAATCTATAAGATCGTTTGTTGTCAACATGATTATATGAATTAAAAGTAACACCATATTTAAGGCTTTATAATGTAATTAATATATTGATAAACACCTTTGGATTGTACACAAGGTGTACTTGTAACCTGATCATTAATAATATTTACAGAGTCAAATAAATTCTTACTAGTATAAGTCATTCAGCAGATGTGATAAAGACAAGCATAACATCACATATATTAAGAGCAAAAATGGATAGTGGCTAGCAGGGGAATCTAGAACGCTCGTTTCATCCTATTTAGGACTCGTCAGCTGGATGTATCTGCATCTCAGAGTAGATGTTCACTCCAAGACTGGAACCTAGTACTATTCACTTTAAATGCCATCGTGTTATCCATTTAGCTACTGAGTCCTGATAGCCATTTGTTTGTGCAATAAAGTGAAGTTTAAATTCACTTGGTGTTGTTTACTTGAGTCTTCCTTGATCGCCTCGATATACAGTATGCACATAAAGCAATAAGAGAATGATCAATTGCAGTTCTAAACATCAATAGGAAGATGCAAACAAACAAATTTAAGTGAATTTAAACTTCATCCCATTGCACAAGCAAGTGGTTATCAGGACTCACTAGCTAAGTAGATAGCGCGATGGTATTTGAAGCGAACGGTACTGGGTTCGAGTCCCAGAGCGAACATCAACTCAGATTTAGGTACATCCAGTTGACGAATCCCAAATAGGATGGAACGCGTGTCCTGTATTCCACTGCTAACCAGTATCCATCTTTGCTTATAATGCTTATGAATTAAGGCAATATCGAGGCAATACACACAGGATACATATATGTCAACAAGAGAGTGATCAATTGGAGTCTTAAACCTCGATGGGAAGATTTAAGCAAAACAATACCAAGTGAATTTATCACATTTATTGGTTTTTTTTTCTGTTTAATTCTACTCAAATTAACTTTCATTTTTCACTTACTCATTCTACACATTATCTTTCTTTATAAGTTGTTCAACTGGTTGGCAAGGTCCACTTTGTGATGAATGTATAAAATATCCAGGATGTAAACATGGAACATGTAATGATGCACCATTTACATGCCGTTGTTTACCTAATTGGGGTGGATCATTTTGTGATCAAGGTCAGTTAATGTTAGATAATAATAATAATAATAATAATAATAATAATAATAATAATAAAATCAGCTTTCCTCAATACATTAACGAATTCACAAGGGAAACTATAGAAAACTGTTTAAAATATGCCTACTTTTTAGGGATTTAAGTAATGAATATTACATAATTATGTGTGATTACATGATTACATGTATAGAAACCATTTCATAATGTTTCTGATTGAGATCATGAACCGATTGATGTCAGATCACCATTGAAAAACTGGAAGCACTGGATAGCCGTTTCGTCTTATTTTAGGACTCCTCAGCAGTGCTCATTCATGATCCCGCTCGCAGGCTTCGTTGAGGTTAGACATAAATACCTTTGGATGCCGGTCTAGAGGTTAGGCGTCCGCATTCGAGGCTGAAGATCTTGGCGTCGAATCCCGCAGGGCGGGCTCGTGGATACGCACTACTGAGGAGTCTCACGGTAGAACGAAACGGCCTTTCAGTGCATCCAGGATTTCAATGGTGATCTAACATCAATCGGTTCATGATCTTAATCAAAAGCTTAATAATCTCCACAACCTTATACTGATATTTCATAATGTATCATCATATTCTTATTAAGAATTATATTTATGATGCATCTCTCAAAGAATGTGTTAGGTTCCGATAAGTATAATGAATGGTAACTTTTGGGATCCATTCATGGGTTATAACAGAATGCTATCACATATGAAGTTTTAATTTATTCACCATTGTGAATGATCTAATATTACAGAGTAATTCACTAAATATCATTAGGTTAGAAACAACTAGTAGGAAGGTGTTGAGATAAATTTGTACTAGTTGACACCCCCCCCTAGTAACTAGATATATCTGTGTTCTTGAAGAAATTGATGCTTCTTGTAAAGTTCAAATCCTGATTTTTATAGTCAGAGGATATTCTCACTTAAACTATTCAAGCAGTAGCCAACTTACTGGGTTATTAAACGTAGTCAATCAGACAGAATTAATCAACTTTCTATTCGGCAACCTTTAGTGTTAACTGAATTCAAGATGAAACTATTTCATGTCAACACCATAGGTTTATACTTACTTATATGATTCATTCATGTACATCAATACAAATAACACAATAGAGTATTCTATTCTAATTCTATTTTCTGTTTCATTATTCACTAAATGAATACATAGATCTGGATTACTGTGGACGACATCAACCATGTTTAAATAATGGAATATGTAGAAATTTGAATTCATCATATTCAAAACCATTTAATTGTAGTTGTACACGTGATTTTACCGGAGAATATTGTGAAATAAGTAAGATTTTCATGTATAATTCTTTTGATTAAATTATTCATTGTTAATTGATTTGGAAATTTGTGACATACTTATTTACGTCTGTCACCCCTCGTCGAGGATGAAAGATCATCAACAAGCATTGTACATCTAACTCTGTCCTGGACAATCCCTTGTTTACAATTGCTACTCATCCGCTTCATGTCTGTTCCCAATTCTCGATGCAATGGGTTCTTTTGTTTTCTCTTTTTTCCGTTTCCCTTCACTATTCCAAGTTAGCGGTTGCGTTGTGATGCAGTATGATGGTTTCCGTAATGTATGCCCTATCGAATTTCATCGTCTTTTCCTAGTTTACTTTTCAGATGGAAGCTTATTTATTCCCTCTCACAGTGGGTTATCGCTGATGGTATCCTAACAACGAACATCGAGTATCTTGTGTATACAAATGTTCAGAAATACTTGTACTATTATGATGATGGTTGTAGTACTTCTTCAAGTTTCAGTTCCGTACAGTAGAACTGTCTTGACATTCGTATTGAGGATTCACACTTTGACATTGGCTGATAGACAGTTGTTTTGAGTTCCATATGTTCTGTAGTTGTAAGAATGCTGCACTTACCTTGCCAACCCTTCCCCTTACGTTTGCATAGGGTCATCTTTGTTCATTGATGATGCTGTCCAGGTACGTGAAAGTGTCCACCTGTTCCAATGTTTCTCCATCGAGTGTGATTGATTTTGTTGATGTTCACCATGCTGTATTTGAGGGTCTTGCTTTTTACCTTGTGTTTGTTGAGGTTTGCTGATTCAGAGGCTGCTGATACACTTTTTGTCTTGACCGGTATTTGTTGGTATGTATGGCATAGAAGGGCCAGGTGATCTGTGAAGTCCAGATCGTCAAGTTGCATTCAAGCCGTCGAAAGTTGTGAGTATAACTTTATCTGCCAAGTAAGGAGTTTATATACTCACTTTCGAGTTATTAGATTTTTCTGAAGGCTAACCGACTCCTCATGACGAGGTTGAATGTGGGTAGTAGTGTTAAAATGTTAGGCTAACTTCTTAGAACTCGAAAGTTTAACAGAAGAGCTATTGTCCTCGACGGTGATAAGTAACAATAAATGTATTCACAAAGCTTTTCTGAGAACTTGATGTTGGAGTCTATGGAATTTTGATTTTTGATTTTCTTGAAATTCATTAATTACTTGTGTTTACTTGTATTTAAGCGTATGTAGGCACTACAAACAACTACCATAAATCGAACATCTAATTTACGACCTGGATGATCCGGATTTGAAACTGACAAAATCCATCTGTTTTACTTATAATTGTTGATTACCTTTAATCTAGCAATATCAATATAATAAACCCATATTGCCATTATTATGATTATATCAATGACTTTACTCACTTTATACTGTTGAAAAAGTCAAATAAGGGAAAATTTATCTTAAAATCTCTATGATGTATCAGCGTTAGACAATAAATCAACACAAACACTGAAATAGACAGGATAAGATGGATTGTTGAACAAATCAAAAGACCGGATTATGATTGTTCTAACCCGAACAAATAAATACAAATAAGATGAGAAGTGAAACGTGAAATCTTCATTTGAAATTTCATGAATCATCTGACAAAAATCAGATCAACCATTAAATTCATTTGCATACACTATTAAGGAATCACGAAGAAAACGATACATAAGGCCAAATGCCTGTTAGGTTTCATTTATTATTTATTTAATGTTAGTTTATAGATAGTTCACTTCAAATTATGAAGAATCGCCACATGATTAAAATGACCTGAAAGCAAAAATAATTTAGTGAATATCATTTACCTACTTATGAGTAGCTAACATAGTAATTGTAAAAAAGGTGGGTTGATTTGGCAAGTTAATGACATGACTTTCAAACAGACAGATCGTTGAAATTGCACTTAGTTAAAAGTGATTGATATATACTCTGTAGTCCTTCAGTACACTATTTTTCAGGTCAAATAAATTTTTTAAATGAATGGTGAGACTATAATTTATGGACGATATTTGAGCAACGTTGAAGTGACTTTGAGGGTGCTAACCTAATTATTAGGATCAAATAAGGGTTATAAACCAGTGTGAGGAACTGGAATTATGATTTACAGTTGATGGTTAGAGTTAAATTTAGGGTTATCATCACAAACTTACATCAGCTGTAATGCCAAAACTCTATTTAGTGAAATGGATGAATGAATTTCGCGCCGAAATCCAGGAGCTGTTATCTTATAACTTATTGGTTCGTCCATAAATTAGTCTCACTAAATGACCAATGAAAATTTGCGATGGATAACCGCGAGTATTATTCTTTATGGATGTACATTTTGCGAACTTAAGTACATACGATTGAGAGAAAATTCAATTCAACCGGATTAATGATCAGTTTTCTATGAAAGGTATTCAAGTTGTCATCATCTTTGACTTAACTAAACTAAACTAAATAAAGGAAACCAATTGAAAACTGTATCATCCTTTTAGTTAACGAAAATATTAACAACCTGGGTTTCGTCTTAAGTCAGTTAATCACCGTAAACACGAGCTGTAAATATCCTTCAACAGTCTTGATGATCCGTTTCACTATGAAACTGAACTAGTCGACATTGATATTGAATGCGACATCAAACTGTGAACAGCTCGTGACTGATAGGTCCTGGGTTCGAATCTCGCGAAGTGGGATCGTGGATGCATACTGCTGAGAAGTTGTATACTAGAGTGAAACGGCTGTCCAGTGCTTTCAGGCTTCCTATGGTGGTCTAGCTTTAATTGAATCATGAAGTTAACTATTAAAATTTTAATTTTCCTGTTTATTTTCCGATAATTAATATAGAATTGGCACCGTGTACAAATGATCCGTGTAAACGTGGTCGTTGTATATCAAAAGATAATATCACCTATGAATGTGAATGTCAACCAGGATGGCGTGGTGATCATTGTGAAGAGAGTAAGTTTAGTGGTTAAAAGTTGCTTGCCTTAATACTTTAGACGTTTACGTCTAAAATGAAAGATTTGGGGTTCGGATACCGGAGTGGACACCAACTTTGAGTTATTTAGGATACATCCCGCTGACGAGTTGTAGATAAGACGACATGCGCGTCGTTAATTTCACTGCTGGCCACATAATGTTTGTTCTGAATCAACTTGTCTGACTTATGTTTTAAACAATATGTTTCAATAATCTTAATTGACCTGTATAGTAACTCAAATGTTTGTTATCTGACTATCCGATCAGATTCAATAAAAAATTTCATACACCACCTAATAGTTGAAACAAGTGGCGATGAGGAAGTAAGAAGACTAAGTGCGTAGGAAGCTTTAATGTCAGAACCGAGTCAAAAATATACATAAACCATGTATACATGAAGGCGTAATAAATGATCCAGACAAGGATACGTAGACTATAAACAATACACTTACTCATAATACCATGTGCATAGTTGCGTTTCTCATCCGCCAATTAGTCTAAAGTCGGAATTTGATCTACCTGACTTTTCAGAAACATATGGCGTAAGCTAGCTTGAATTCTGTACGGCCTAGAATCTTGAGAGGAGAGTAGAAGATTCTGAAAGTTCTAGGTTCGATTCCTGATAGTTTCATGGAGTAACCTTGTTAGAAAGTTTCATAATACGACGGAATAACTATCCAGTACTTTCCAGTTTAAACAGCTATCTTATGAAAGTCAGTTTGTGAAAACTCAGTCAGCAACAACGTAGAACTTCGTACGTACGTACATCCATTCGTGTTGCCATACCACATTGACACAAAGATACAATTGTCGATTCAAATCCCATGGTGGTATAGATAGTAAGAGTATAAAAAGTAATCAAAAAGATTAGGGTTTGAAGATGTTATTCAAGGAGTATAATCCAATGAAATAAATTTGGAAAAAGAAAAAAAGAAGCGACATGAAGAATTCGGAAGATCAGAATTTGGGAGAACACAAAGAGTGGATGCACCTGCACCATCGCAAACGATTTTGAGCTATGTCATTCAAGGTCTCTAACCATCGGTTGCTGTCATCTCGCGGTCCCCAACCAGGTAGTCTACACCTACCAACATAGGTCAGTCTACTTGTCAGTGACTTCATGGATTTGTGCCATGTTTTGGTCTGGCTGCCCCTACCTCCCTTCCAATCTACTCCTATACTACTGAGCATCGCACGTCGGGGTAGTCGGTGGTTGGGCATACGTAACACGTGTCCCAGCCATCTCAACTGATGAAGTTTCACTACTTCATCAATTGATTTGCCATCCTTACCAGGTACCCGTTTCCTCACAATTGCATTACTTACTCACTGGTCAAGTTTGTGATAACTACAGAATATATAATTATTCGGTTTAATGGTACGATTTTTCTCCCATGTTAAATTATTCAGTAAGACATAAATCTCAGTTTCTATTTATATTTGTAATAAAACATACTTTTTCTCTGTTGCATATTCTGATTTCGATAAGATATTGATTATTGCTTAATCAATACATGTTTAAATGGTGGAACATGTCAAGATTTAGATGGTCCTGGTTTCCAATGTTTATGTCCATCTGGTTTCAAAGGATCTAATTGTCAATTAAGATCACCATGTAGTAATTCACAATGTGTACATGCAGTTAATTGTAAACAATTAATACAACCAGTGAATGGGATTGATTATGAATGTATGTGTCAACCTGGTTGGACAGGACAATTTTGTGATCAAAGTAAGTTGACATTTTAAAAATTTAAAAATTTGGTTAGTTATTTTCATATTTATGACACATTAGAATCTCACAATTGATTGATCACTGGGTGGTGATTAATGTCATGTGTGTCAAGTCCTTATTTAGTGCAAATCGAATGTTATCGATCATGTTGCAATGTGGTCACCAGTCTAGGTGACTCGACACTGCGTGCACTATATATTGAGATTAGATGTTGGTTGGAGGTAGTCGACAGGAAACCCTGGACCCGGGTTTCGTGCTAATTGGCACTCGTCAGCAAGGTTTACCTGTAATGTTGAGGGAACTGGTACTCCCTGGCGATCAGTTGCTGCCCAGATAGCTCAGCGTCAACGTCTCTGACTGTGAAACTGTGTGACACGGGATCGAATCCGCCAGGGAGCATCAGTTCCCTCAACATTACAGGTACACCTTGCTGACAAGTGCTAATTAGCACGAGACCCGGGTCCAGGGTTTCCTGTCGACTACCTCCAACCACCATCTACATTAGAATCTATTTGGAGCCATGTTTGACAACATTTCAGTCTGCTTACTTGTATGATGTTGATGATGTGGTGAGCTGATTACCATCAGTGCAATCTCAGCATCTTTACCATATAGTTGTATCATGTGCATATCATCGGCTATGAAGTAACCACTGAGATCAAATATCGTTAAGAATTATATTTTCAATAGTTTAAAGATGATTTGTCGAGATCAACATAAGAAAAAAACCCGGTTGACAAGTTATGAGAAGTAAAACTTACTCTCTTTTATTATGAAGTTATTCCAAAGTGTTTAAATCTGTGTGGCATAATTGTTTCTTATAGAAAACTGAAGAACACTTCAGTAACTCTGTTAGTGATTAAGATCAACGAAACCACTGAATGAACACTGTTGAAGTGATAGAATATAAAGGTAATAAGTGAGTGGAAGTAGTAAACTGGAAACTTTTGAAGTTAGTTACCCGGTATCTAATACTAGTCAGTAAGACATACCAAAAATCTTAAGAAAACTGTTGGTTTGTGTTGGATTTGACTCTAGGTCACAAATCATATGTTCAAGTTTTCCTGTCATTTATTGTACAATATGATGATTGATGCTATAGCAACAGACCGTATGAAATTTAACAATAGTCGACGTATAACATAATAATAATCCGTGAAACTAATGAATATTTATTGTAATAAAGATGGAGCAACTCCACCTGTAGCTCTTCTAGGGTTACTGCCGTTCCCAAGCCCGGATAAAAGAAGAGGATTACAACTGAGAACATCAACCCCATCCCATAGAAAACAACACTGCAAAAATATACGCTAACCAAAATAGACGATCTAAGCCTTATAATCTCTGTCCTCCAAGTTCAAGGATCTTTATGTAGAAGAACTATGATGCCTCATAGCGAAAAGCAAGATTTTAAGGAGGTCACGAGGTTGATGCTCCTTCTAACAACCCAAGCAACAATTATTATAGGCACATGGAATGTCTGGACAATGTAGGAGACCAGGAAGTCCAGTCACATATCAACCGAAATGAAGAGATACAACTTGACAGTTATCGGAATCAGTGAAACTCATTGAACCCAATCTGGAAAGCTAAGGCTAGATACGGAAGAGATGCTGTTGTACCTCCAGTCACGAAAAGGGAAATGCTTTACACACTCAAGGAGTACAAAGAAGCACGTAACGCACTTATAGGATGGGCACCTCATGGATCCAAGATTATCAAGGCATCTTTCAAAATAAAGAAGAAGGCGATCACGATTGAATTAACCGGATATAGAAGCAACACGCACAGACCTTCCTATCAATGTCACTCCACCAACGATTGACAAAATCACGATGGCCATCAGACAAATGGAAACTGGGAAAGCATCAGGGCCTGACAATATACCAACCGAAGCACTGAACTCAGACATAGAAGTAACTGTAAACATGCTTCACGTTCTAACCAGGAAAATTTGGGAGGAAGAACAATTATTATTGACAGACTGGAAATAAGGATAACTCATCACGATACCAAAAAATTGAGATCTGAGCAAGTGTGAGAACTACAGAGGAATCATACTACTATCAGTACCAGGAAACATTTTCAACGGCGTGTTGCTAAATTAGATGAAAGATTCACTGAACTCTCAGCCTCGGGATGAACAGGGCGCGTTTCATAAGAATCGGTCGTGCACAGACCAAACCGCGACACTATGGATCATCGTTGAGCAATCGATTGAATAGAACTCGTCACTATACATCAACTTCCTTGACTATACGAAGGCGTTTAACAGTGTGGATAAGAGAACCTTATGGAAATTTCTTCGAAACTATGTTATCGGGAATTGGAAGCAGACATCAAAAGAATAAATGGCGACTAGAAACAACTGAAGATGAGACAAATGAAAATGGACAGAGTTCAATGGAGAATCCTGAAAGGTGGCCTTCCCTCCTTCACAAGGGGTGACAAGGCGTAAGTAAGTAGATAAGTAAAGAAATAGCAGAGTATCAGAGTATTGTCATCAAAATGATAGAAACAAGAGATTCATTGATAGTAGATGATATAAAATACCATTAATTGAATCCATTTCTGTCTTAAAAATAATAAACATTACATTATTTTATCTGTCAATAACTTCATTTTCACTTACCTAGTCATTTAATCTAACTTATATATCTATAATACAGATGCTCATATGAAGCAAGTTTCCTTGACTTGACTTTTATCATTTTACAATTAAATTAAGTTTTGAACATAGAACACATGAGATACTGACTTATTAAGATACTGAATCAAAAACTATCATTATATAGACTTTTAACCTGTAAACAGATAAATAAGTGGAGTTCAACCGGGTCTATTGTGAGATAGTAACTCACTGAAGACAGTGGTGGATGTGTGTCGCTCAATTTCGCGGATTGGTTGAAGGTAGACATTAACACTGTTGGATGCCCCCAAATGCCCTGGTACAATTGAGAGTGGGGAGAGTCGGCTTCCCCTGCCCAAATACTCTCACATGGCCACACGTATATAGCCTCTGCCAGGGAAGTTCTACTCACTGCCTTCTCGCGGCGGGGTTGTTGTCTACGAAATTAAGAGGACGAAACGCGAATGTCAAACACTCCAACCGGGTTGGTGGACACGGAGAGTCCACCTAAGGGAGTTGGAAAATCCTGATTCCAAACCAATGGTGCACACGGGCTCAAGTACCCTAAGGGAACAAATGGCGCATGAACCAGTTGTTGGTCACCGACTAACATGGGACTGCATCTCCTTATGTTGCTCCACTGCCTTGTGGATTAGACCTTCAGGTCGAAGGACCGGGTGTGGCTGTCTAAGAAAACTACCTGATTCAATTTGGGCACCTGGGCAGTATCACAGCCCTCACACAAAACAAATAAGATTTGTGTGACGCATATGTATTTGGTGCCCCCTCACATCAGTATTTATGTTTTCAAATAAATAAATAAATAACACCGCTGGATGCCGGATCAGTGGTCTAGTAGTTAAGCGCTCCCATGCGAGACTGGTTGATCCTAGGTTGGAATCTCGCGAGGCATGATCGTGGATGCGCACTACTGAGGAATCCCACCATAGGACGAAACTACCGTCCACTGCTCCCAGGTTTTCCATGATGTTCTAGCTTCATATGACTCAATAATCGTAACCATTCGAGATAAATAAGTGATAGAATGCCTAGAATGCTATTTCATGACTCTTTTAGATGATAAAATCAAACATTGTTGATAAATATACAAGGGATCAGCTTAGAAAAGAAAAAGTACGTAAGGATCTTAACATTTATCTTTATCATCATTACTTGCTTTCTTTCCTCTTATTACGACTGGGTTGTTTTTTTCTCTCACAGTTTGAACAGATACTTCAACTTCATTAATTAAACTAGGTATTAAATGTATATTTCAAATGATTGTTATCTTTTTCTCTCATTTAGTCTACAATCAGTTGATCTCAATCATTGTACTCATCATTTAATGACTTGTCTATTGTCATTGTATGGAGATTATTATCATTTTATATAATTGATAATGATCACTAGTTTGTATTTGAGAGGACATTCGAAGAAAGTTAAAAGACCGAGATCAAATCGTCTACGTCTGAAGTTTTGTTTCTCGTACCGAATAGTGAATTACCAGAACACATAATATTAACACCTTCTGTTGATATATTCAAAGAGAGATTGAACCTCTACAGTGTTACAAACTGTAAGGATTCTTTTTTTTTATTGAGATCATGAACCGATTGATGTTAAACCACCGTTGGAAACCTGGAATAACTGGATGGTCGTTTCGTCTTATTAATATTAGATCGATAGACCTCCTATCCTTATTACTAAAGACTGAAGACTATTTTGTATTGTTTCCTAATAAGCTAAATATTTTGATATTAACATAACATCTAGTAGCACAAAATAATTAAACTGTAATATTTAAACAGATGAGATTGAATGATACAGTTTGAATAACAGAAATATAACGTCTAAGGTTGTTGATTTTTTTCGCGAGTTAGCTTTCTATGGGGCGGGGTCGCTAACCCCAAACTAAACCCTTCTCCTTTACCCGGGATTGGGACTGGCAGTAACTCTAGAAGAGCTACAGGCTTCTAGAAGCTACTAGCTTCCAGCTGAGGAGGAAATTAGGAAAAGACTATGGAAATGGATAGGATATACATTACTCAAATAATCAAACTGCATCACGAGGCAAGTCATAACTTGGAATCTTGAAGGGAAGTGGAAAAGAGGATGGCCGAAGAACACACTACGTCGGGAAATAGAAGCAGATATGGAAAGGATGAATAACGACTTGAAAGGATTGCCCAGGACAGGTTTGGATAGAGAGTGCTAGTGAGCAGCCTATGCTTCTCCACGAGGAATAACAGGCGTAAGTAAATAAGTAAGTAAACAAGGTTGTTGATATCTTTCGTTGATCAGTTCTTTGAAGTGGATTCGACTAAACGTATCCATAGTCATTAATCGTATGTCTTCCATTATTCAATAATAAGCAGGGATGCATAATGATATTCATTCATTTACTTCTTTACGAATTGCGTGACTTACTTCAATCTTTTATTGATTTCTCATTTCTTTATAGTAATAGATTACATAATTATTTACTAATGATTGTTCTTTTTTCCTTTTTAAATAATTAAGATATCGATGATTGTGTGGACAAATGTCAAAATGGAGGAACATGTCACGTAAGTAACTTATTTTACTTACTAAATAATAATAATAATAATGGTAATGGTAGTAATATTATTATTATCACTATTAATACCATTAATAGCAGTAGTAGTAGCGTGAGTAGTAGTAGTGGCAGTAGTAGTAGTAGTAGCAGTAGTAGTAGTCGTAGTGCTGGCAGTAGTAGTAATGTTGTTGTTAGTAGTAGTATTAGTGGTAGTACTAGTAGCATTGCTAGTAGTGTTAGTAGCAGTAGTAATATTAGTGTGAGTAGTAGTAGTTTTTATTTTAACACATAGATATTGGTACAAGGAGGCACCAAAATACATATGCGTCACACAAATCTCATTCGATATGTGTGAGGGCTGTGATACTGCCTGGGTGCCTAGACCGAAGTAGGTGGTTCTCTTAGGGGACCACACCCGGAGCTTTCGACCTGAAGGTCTAACGCACAAGGCAATAGATCATTTTGAGGAGATGCGGTCCCATGGTAGCCGAAGACCAACGATTGGTTCATACACCATTTGTTCCTTCAGGATACTGGAACTCGTGTGCACCATTGGTTTGGAATCAGGGTTTTGATAGTGATGCTAGTAGTAGTTGTCAGTTAGTTAGTTACATAAAATCAATATTTTTGACAATGATGCTGCGTTGAACATTCACTTCTCTTGCTATTTCAATCATAAACTGTGACTTGATGAATATTACATAATCAATCTCAAAGAATCGGTATTTATTTAGGCATTTTTAAATGTATCTTTCTGTTTGTTAGTAGAGGTTGCAGATTTTCTACATTTCCATATTGATTATATTTTGAACAGTTTGTATTAGTAGAATATGGATGTTCCATCTATTCACTTTAGTTTGAGACTGGACAGCCTGATTTCCCTAATATTTCAATATGCATTGATATTTAAGAATAGAACTTAGGTTTTACCGGTTCAAATGTTAGTTAAGCTTTCTTTCCTCCAGAGACTTGTAGGTTCAGAGTTTGATCTCTGGCGACATTGTAAGTGAGCACTTCTGTAGAGTATCGTACTAAGACAATACAAGATATCCAGTGATCTTTTATTCTGAATGATATCCAAAAGGAAAACAGTCTTTGATGAATACTATTCAGAAATATTCAATGTAGTAATTTTCTACTCATTTCCTACTCTCATATATATATTAGAGTGAAATAATTTTATTTGTTTGTTTATATTTCTTTCAGGATCTTCTAGATGATTTCTATTGTACTTGTCCAATTGGATTTGAAGGTAGACATTGTGAAATTAATCGTGAATGTTCTAGTAAACCATGTCAAAATAAAGGAATTTGTCATGAAATTCCTGGTGGTTATTTATGTGAATGTCCAAATGGATTTATAGGACAAAATTGCGAAGTGAGTAAGAAAAAAATATTCACTGATAACATGATGAATCTGTTGTAAAAATAGCCCCCAAATGCTCTAGTACAGCTGAGAGTGGGGAGAGTCAACTCTCCCTCTCTAACCGCTCTCACATGGACACTTGTATACAACCAATCCCAAGGAAGTCCTACTCACTGTCTTCTCGCGGCATTACTGTTATCCACGAAATTCAGAGGACGAAAATCAAACGTCTGGAGCTTTAACCGGGTTCGTGAATATGGAGAGCCCTGATTCAAAACCATTGACATACATGGGCTCCCGGATCCTAAGGAAATAAATGGCAAATGAACTTACTTTTGAACGCCAGCTACCACGAGATTGTATCACCTGACGTTGCTCCACTGCCTTGTGGATCAAACCTTTAGGCTGAAGGCTCTGGGTGTGGCTCACTAATAAAACTACCCGTTTTGATTTGGGCACCTAGACAGCATCCTAGCCCTCACACAAATCGAATGATTTATTTGGCGCATATCTATTTGGTGCCTCCTTATACCAATGTTTATGTGTTTAAATAAATAATATAAATCATCAATTCATTAGAAATGACTTCAAGTTCATTATTATTACTACAGTTATGAGAATGTTGTCAGACATAATTCATTCATTGATTTTAAAGTCTTATTCACTAGCACTGATGATGAAACACTGTGTGGAGTTTCTGAAAAGATTATCAAATGTTTCATTCAAGCGAAATACTTTGGTGTAATTAAGTGTCGGCAGAAATTCATCAGTCATGTATGTTGAAAGTTTCCACAAGTATCGCTTAATACAATTGAAGACTTTATGTCATGTTCAGTTACATTATTGACGGTTCACATTTACGAGTAGATCACTAGACACCAAGACTATTTAGAACGACCACCTAATTTTGTATTTGTCATTTCGACTACATTCATACAGCAAGTTATATTGGTTCTCTGAGCAGCTCAGAGAACAAAACTCCATCAAAATCATCCATTTGAGCTACAAATCTTCTCCATCATCTCAATTTACATTTTCGTGCTCATGAATACCTTCCAGAATGGTTAAGCAAAGATCTAGTGAAAAAAGTGGACAGCTCGATATCAGCCCACTTCATGCAAACTAGTCACAGTTCCAGTATACTCCAATCTTTCTCAATTATTTATCGGGTTCGAGATATTTTCTAAAGGTGTGTTAGATCCAAAGTCCTTCAAAGGGTAAAAGCTGTAACCATTCGGACTAAAAAACTGGAGCCAAGTGTATGAAATCAATATCTTCAAACACTTATCTTACACTGGTCAACCTCATGGTCAATGAATCAATAGTAATCATAATTATAGGAAAACCTTACAACCTTTCTTAGTCAAATATAATCTTTGTTATCTTTATAAGCAAAGATGGATAGTGACTAGCAGTGGAATCCAAGACGCGCGTTCCGTCCTGTTTGGGACTCGTCAGCTGGATGTACCTGCATCTCAGAGTTGATGTTCACTCTTGGAATCGAACCCAGTAACGTCCGCTTCAAACGCCATCGCGTTATCCACTTGGCTACTGAGTCCTGATAACCACTTACTTGTGCAATGGGGTGAAGTTTAATTCACTTGGTATTGTTTTACTTGAATCTTCCCATTGATGTATTAGGACTGAAACTGATCAGTCTTTTATTTGCATATGTACATACTGTGCGTATGCCTCGATATTGCTATAATTTGTCATAAGAGACTGATCAGTTTCAGTTCTAAAACATCAATGGGAAGATTCAAGTAAAACAATACCAAGTGAATTTGTTATCTTTGTTATTCACATACCTTTGGATTATTATTACCAATAATGTTCTGAGTACATGACTAATCTCCTTGACATTTACAACACTTTATAAATTCCCACTGAATTCATATAACTTTAGTCTTCCACTGAACATTTGATCGAATTTATAATTGGGCTATTATTTCTTTCACCATATCTGAACCATATTTATTCTGATCATGAATCTCATAAGTTCATTTAGCATATAAGTTATGTCAACATTAACAATTTTATTTTAATAGTTGAATTCATGTGTTGACCATCACTGAAAACCAGAAAGCACCGGATGGTCGTTTCTTCCTAGCATGGGACTCCTCAACAAAGTGCATTCATGAGCTTGCACCATAGGGGACTCGAGCCTAGGATCTTCGGTCTCACATGCGAATGCTTAACCTCTAGGCCACTGAGTCGTCAACCAATGGTGTTAATGTCTAACCTTAAGGAATCCCGCGAGTGGGATAGTGAATGCGTATTGCTGAGGAGTCCCACAATAAGACGAAACGGCCGTTCAGTGCTTCCAGGTTTTCAATGGTGGTCTAACATCAATCGGTTCATAATCTCAATCAAATCTCCAAGTTCATTATCTTATTTCTCAAAGAACAATGTAAGTAGTCTTTCAATATAAAGTAAATTTCATCTGTTATTTTTTTTCTTTCTATTCTATGAAAGATTTCAATAAATGGATGTAATCCAAATCTTTGTCAAAATGGTGCTTATTGTTATACATTATCTAGTGGTTTCTATTGTAAATGTTCAGAAAATTTTTATGGACAATTTTGTGAATATCAAAGACCATATTGTGGACCAGATGGTTGTGATACATTAATGGATCCATGTTTAAATATGTTAATTATGCATAATAATGATACATTCCCATATCCTTCTTCTTCTTCTTCTTCCTCATTGACGTTAACATCTTCAGTATTAACCTTTCAACAATCAACAATGATTCCGAGAAATTCAACTCAATCAAATTATGATAATTTATTAATTAGTCATCATGAGATCACATATCCTTATGGTGTATGTGGTCAACATGGTACATGTGTTAGTACAGATAATGGAGATTATAAATGTATCTGTGGAACTGGTTATCAAGGAAAATATTGTCATCAATCAATTAATTATTGTGAAACTATGCCATGTATGAATGATGGTACATGTATAAGCGGTTTAGAAGGTTATGAATGTATATGTGAAGAAGGATTTAGTGGTGTGCAATGTGAACATCGTAAGTGATTTTTTTCTATTACAAATTTCTCACATTAATTCTAAGATAACTATGAAATTTCAAACGTTAAGATCATGAGTCAGTTGAAGCTAGACCATTATAGAAAACCTGGAAGCACTGAACGGCCGTTTCGTCCCATTATGGGACTCCCCAGAAGTGCACATCCACGCCCCCCCCTGCGAGATTCGAACCCAGGACCCACTGGTTTCATGTGCGAGCACTTAACCTCTAGACGACTGAATCAGTCGGCATCCAATGGTGTTAATATCTAACTTCAAATAATCCACGAAAAAATGAATCACATCCACCATTGTCTTCAGTGAGTTACCATCTCACAATAGACCCAGTTGGACTCCACTGGTCACTAATTCTCACTAGAACTCCAGGAAATACCTCTTGAAGCCAGTCACTATAGAGTATATGTTGATTAATATCAGATGGGTTTTGTGGATCTTAACCACTGAAATTACTATAATATCCACAAAATCCCTTCTGATGGTAATTTGGTTTGGACAGCTGGACTGTGTCGTTAGCTCCCAGCAAAAAAGCAATGAATCTTCAACTTTACGTTAACGTAGAAAGTCGATTATTTCTAGATCATTCTCATAAAACACTACAATGATCCAATACAAATAATACTTCCCGCCTTCAAACTGCTGTCAATCCATGACAAATATCACTTATGAAGTAAACTAATCTATATGAAACCTCTTGAATCAAATGATCGATTGATTTCCTTACTTTTCTTTATAGCTATTGATTTATGTCAACCAAATCCATGTCAAAATGGTGGCTATTGTCAGCATACATTACATCCAGGAGATTTTCAATGTCGTTGTGCACCAGGTTGGTCTGGTCGTTGGTGTGAATTTCAAACAGATAATCCATGTAATATGGCTAAAATTTGTTTTAATAATGGTAAATGTCATCAAGATCATTTAAGTCCCGGATTATTTAAATGTGAATGTGATAATCAATGGATTGGATCTGTTTGCCAGTTACGTAAGTTTAGTTAAAAATATTTCTATGTTAATATAAAACTTAGTTGATCTATAAATGAGATCATTAACAAATTACAATCTAATAAATCTGATAAACTAATTTAGTGACCTTATGTCTGACTCCATGCTGATCGTGCGAATGATCGTTATTGAAATATACATATCGCCAATGTTATAACTTGTGGCCTGTGTGCTCTGTTAATGTATGACATAACGATACCGCCAATTAGAGAGCAGTGAATTATCGATCGGATCAATGACGCATAAAACACGTACGATCAGTTTACAGTCTTTATTGGCCCTTCTTCCTGCCTAGCCCAGCCAGTTAAGTCCAAAACACCAATACCAGCCTCCGCGATATGAATCATGTATTTCAAACATACTCGGTTTATATATCAACCAGACAGATCACAACGTACCATAAAATATGAAACAACATTTGTACAAGAATTAGCCAGAAGTGGCTGTGAGTGTGGAGAGTAGTAATTAATAGACTGGGCATAATTCAAGAATGGTAAATCGTATAATAATAGTTCATAGGTCGAAATAAAACTCATAATAAGAGGGACATGAATATGAACAGCTTAGTTATTTAACAATTAGACGATAACAATATACGCATAGTATTAATCCATAAATGTATCCCAAAGGTTACCATTCATTATGCTTATCGGGGCATAACAATCAATCGTCGTATATAATCATGGCCTTAAATCGCGTTAGTGAATAACGGAATCAAATAAATCAAATATGAGAATGGATTTTAGAATACATATATTTCGTACAATTATTGATTGAGACAAACGATCGAAGAAACGAAACGAAGTGAAGAGAAGAGAACGGAGTGAGATGACGCTCAGTGAAGATAGAGTGTGAGCCAACTCGTCTTAATCAAGCGTTAATCGATATTTATAGGCTGAACTAAAATAAGCTACAGAAATGTGATGAGTAAGATGAGAAATGCACACATGTTTACATAAAAACAGTCATGGTTGATAAGCGAATAATTAACAGGGTCAACATGTAGGTCGAGAAGAATGAATAAATTGGTTTGTCCGGAAGTTCAAATAAGCTGTGTGGGCTTAAAATGGCAACCGACACGACACCGATAACAATGTTTAGAAGAAATCGACATTGCGCTGTAAAAAGTTTAAGGGAATCGAGAAATGAATTCATCTATTTGCTTTGTTATATTCTGTTCAGTTTTGATTTACACCAAACTTACTATCAAAATGAAAAAAACTGAAGTGAAATTGAAGATTTTTTTTTGACAAACCAAAACTATAGTAGACACAAATCACTAATACATATATAACGATTGTCGTTCCAACCCATGCAGAGATATATGAGCTTAAATATTTAGTGAGTCGAGTCTATCATGTTTTTAGCTTATTCGAAAGTTACTTACTTACTTTCGCCTGTTACTCCCAATGGAGGATAGGCAGCCGACCAGCATTCTTCAACCCACTCGATCTTGGATCTTCCTTTCTAATTCTATCCAACTGTTGGGCATTCTTCTCATGGTTGTCTGTCTCCATTTTCCGGAGTAACGTGTCATTTGGTCTTCCTCTTCTCCTTTGGCCTTGAGGATTCCATATGAGAGCTTGTCTTGTCACGTAATTGGATGCTTTCCTCATTGTGTATCCTATCCACTTCCAGTGCTTCTTCCTCCACTGGAATTTGGTTTGTTCTCTACCACAGTATGTTGCTGCTGATGGTGTCTGATCAACGGATCTTGTTAATAAACACCTGTATTATCTGGATGATGGCTGTTGTAGTTCTCCAAGTTTCTGCCCAATACAGTAAAACTGTCTTGACATTTGTATTGAAAATTCTGACTTTGGTGTTGATTGTCAGTTGTTTTGAGTTCTAGATTTTCTTCCATTGTAGATACACTGATCCTGCTTTGGCGATCCGCCGATCAAAAGTTACCCTCCAAAATTATTGGATTATGATCATGGCAACTAAATTTGTTGTTTTACAATTAATGATGTGTATTAAATTATTAAAAAAAAAGAATAAGAACAAAGATTTAAGTCGAATATGAATTCATTCTAGTTTCATTAGATTCATCTGAACTTCATACATGTTTGAAATGATCAAAAAAAGGGGAGTTGTAAATCATTACTGTTGGGATATTCAGAAAAATATCCCAAAAATTATTCTATTAAGTCGAATGCTATTCTTGGACTTGGAGATGGTATCATTTTCTTATTGGTCAATATTTATTTCACGTGTCGTTTTCCTATTGGTCAATATTGTACAAATGTTATTTTCTATTTTGTGGTACGATGTGGTCTGCTTGATTGGTATATAAACAGAGTATGTTTGAAATATGATGATTCGTATCTCAGGGGCTGAGACTTACGTTCTGGACTCAACTAGCTGAGCTAGATAGGGAAGCAGGGCCAATCGGGACTCTAGGTCGTTCTTACGTGTTTACGCGTCATTGTTCCGATCGATAATTTGCTGCTGTCTAATCTGCAGTCCACAAGACACAACAATTACCGTAATGATTCTTATCTAAGGGTTATTATAAATATTTAATAAGATAATGAATCTAGGATCATGATAACCAAGTTAAATGTTTGGATTTATTGTTGTCAATAAATAAATATGAAGTTCTGAAGAACATTCTGGAACGGTGAAGACAATTTGTACCTTAGGTGTATGATTTTGATAATTTTGTTTTCTTAGCTGGATGGTTCGGTCATAGAGTAAAGTGTTCATTTCTATCTGAAGTTTATACTGATGACATCGTCCAGAAGAACAATGAAAGAACCACGATCTACACACTTCAGTGAATTTCAAAAGACTAGAACTTGTATACGAATTATTCTTTTTTTTTTAAAAAAAAAAGATTTTCATGATCTTTACCTGATATTCTGTATCCAAGACATGTCTAGAAATTGCATGACTTAACATCTTTATTCATTTACAGAAAAGGCCTATTTTAAGAATATATTCCAAAGTAAATAAATTGAGTCCCATACTAGAACGAAACCAATGGTGCACGTGGGCTCCAGTATGCTGCGGGAACAAATGGCGTATGAACCAATTGTTGGTCACCGGTTACCATGGGACTACATCTCCTTACGATGCTCCACTGCCTTGTGGATCAGACCTTCAGGTCGAAGACTCGGGTTGTGGCCCCCTAAGAAAACCACCTGCTTCGGTTTGGGCACCCGGGCAGTATCACAGCCCTCACACATATTGAATGAGATTTGTGTGACGCATATGTATTTGGTGCCTCCTTGTACCAATGTCTATGTGTTAAAATAAATAAATAAATAGGTTTTCCATGATTTCAACTATTAAATAAATTGAATTCATGTAAATCTCCTTAAATCTTTATTTATCTAACCCTATTCAAATTAAATAACTCTGAAATTATAGGCCACTGGATTACAGCTCAATCATCTACAGGTTGAATTCATTTGTGGGATAATCGGTACGAAAGAAATAGATAATAATTTGGATAACAGTTTGGATCTTCTAGCTTACTCATGATTTCAATAGTTGAGATGATGAGCCGACTGAAGCCAGATCATCATGGAAAACCTGGAAGCACTGAACAACCGTTTCGTCCTATTATGGAACTCCTCAGGAGTGCATAGCCACGATCCCACCTAGCGAGATTCCATCTCAGGACCTATCAGTCTCACGCGCGAACGCTTAACTTCTAGACCACTGGGCCGGCCGGCATAGAACGGTGTTAATGTCTAACTTCAAATAATCCGCGAAAAAATGTTATACATCCACCACTGTCTTCAGTGAATTTTTATCTCACAATAGACCCAGTTGAACTTCAATGGTCACTGCTTCATACTAGAACTCCAGGAAATATCTCTTGAAGCCAGCCACCATGGAGCATATGTTGATTAATATCAGAAAGGGTTTTTGTGGATATTATAGTGACTTCAGTAGTTGAGATCATGACTGACTAAACCTGTTATTGCAAAGAAATGGTTTGAAATAAGTCGAGACTGATTGACATAATAAAAAGTTCCATTACATAATCCCGTTTTTAAACATTCAATTCTTTTATTCATTCATTTCCAAATTTAGGTCGACCAGAAACAAGATCATGTGTACAAAAAAATCTATGCAAAAATGGTGCTACATGTATTGATTTAGGTAACAGTTTCAATTGTATCTGTCGTCCTGGTTTCGATGGTCAATATTGTGAAAATGAAATTAATGAATGTAATTCAATGCCATGGTGAGTTCACTTAATATACGCAACTTTGTTCAATTTAGGTTGAATAAAAACTATTATCTTGCTGTACATATTTACACCTGTTATCTCCCTTGGAGAAGCATAGGTCATCCACCAAGATTTTTCATACAACTCTGACCTGAACAATCCTTTCCAGTTGTTGAACTAGTTGGAATTTGAAGCATGAACAACTTAGATTTTAACCCAATAGTATAAATGACACGCACTCATCTAGAGGTTAAAAGTTTCTAAATTTAATCCCTGACGGAGTCGTGAACAACTAAGACAAAACACTTAGCCACTATTTACTAGTCTTCAATGATTCTCTAACTGTGAACAGGTCGTGATGAAAAGTATCTTTAGAAATAATTCCGTAATTAATATCAGAAGGGGTTTTGTGGATATTATAGTAATTTAATTGTTGAGATCATGAGTCCATTGAAGCTAGACCATCATGGAAAACCTGGTAGCACTGAAGAGCCTTTTGATCCTATTGTGGGACTCATCAGCAGTGCGCAACCATGATCTCGCCTCACGAGATTCGAACCAAGAACTTATCAGTCTCGCGCGCGAGCACTTAACTTGTAGAACACTGAGGCGGCATCTAACAGTCTCTTGTGAGATAGTAATTCACTAAAGACAATGGTGCACGGTGGCACAACTTCGTGGATTGGTTGAAGTAAGATGATGGCAGGCTCAGTGGTCTAGAGGTTAGGCATTCGCGTGTGAGACCTATAAATCCTCGGCTCGAATCTCGCGATGCGGGATCGTAGGTCCACACTGCTGAAAATTCCCACAGTAGGATGAAACGGTCGACCAGCTCTCTCAGGTTTTTTATGGTGGTCTAGCTTCAACTGGTTCATGATGCCAACTATTAAATTTCGTAATTATTATTTTGTCTATTTACTCATCTATTTTTATCCTTTAGTTATAATAATGGAACATGTAAAGATCTTATTAATTCTTTCGAATGTGATTGCCCTAAAGGTTTCATTGGAACAGACTGTAGAATAAGTAAGTTATCAAATTTTTTTTTGTAATGAGTTTGACATAATGAGGATATTAATGATTACAATATGATTTTCCATTGAAATAACTATCTCTATTCATGTGATAATCGTTTCGAATTTTTCATGCTGTTCTCTACTTATTATTCAATGAATAAGATCTATTTCTATGTTTATTGATCTTTTCCTAATCCTGAATGTTCTAGTTGATGTCTTTTTAACAAGGTCCCTTTATTTTTTTTACCTGGTAAAGTTGTCAACTGCATGTCCAACACTCCTACTTTATCAGTATAGGGGTTGTGGAGATTATTAAGTTTTTGATTGAGATCATAAACCGATCGATGTTAGACCAACGTTGAACACCTGGAAGCACTGGACGGACTTCTCGTTCTATTGTGGGACCCAGCGGTGTGCATCCACGATCCCGCTCGCAGGATTCGAAACCAGAACCTTTAGTCCCGCGCTCGAACGCTTAACCTACAGAACAACTGAGCCGGTATCCAACTCCTACTTTATCCAAAATTGTAATTGGTAGTAACTTTAGAAAGGCTTAAAGTAGATACTATTATCTTTGACTGTGATATTTATTATGTTAATTTCATTTCTATATATGAATGTGGGCCGAAGTAAATGTGTACCAGGTCCCATTATAATTATAAACAACTTGGGTGAGACTATAATTTATGAATGACTTTTGAGCGACGCTTAAGTGACCTTTATAGTGTCCACCTAACAATCAGGACCAAATGAGGGTTATAAACTAGCGTGAGGAATTAGAGTGATGATTTACAGTTGAGGATAATGGTTAGGAATTACATTTATGGTTTTTTATCACGAATCGACATCAGCTATAATGCCAAAACTCTATTTAGACTAATAAAAGAGTGAATCTCGTGCCAAAATCCAAGACCTGTCATCTTAAATCTGATTGGTTGATCCATAAATTATAGTTTAGCCAACTACTTGTTGACACATGATTACAAACATACACTTGACAAACTGGTAAAATTCTCTAAACTGACTGAAGTAGTAGACAGTCAAGTGATTTTGTGGTTTTTAAGGCAATGAATTAAATATGAACTATGTTTGTCAGTCCTCACTGAGAAGTCCGTTCAATGCATCATTTTCTTCAACAAATGAGCATCAATTAGATTGATAGTCTGTCAAAAGAAGTTGCGGAATTCTAGTTCACAAATTCATATTTCCTTTTCAATGTTATATTTAGTTTATTGTAAATGGTCAGGTTGTAAAAAGTATCTTCTCCGTTGAACTATTCGAGCGTTTTCCTCCTTTATAGAAGTTGAAATTTTATGGTTTCAAGTCAAATCATTATTACTAACCTTTAGTGAATAGAAGTAAAGTTGGTTGAATGGAAATTTAACTTAACATTTTAAACTTATTACTTTGATCATATAACTAGAGTTTGATCAATAGTTAATGCTTTACTATTACGAATTTTATCCCCTTGTCGATTATCCCGTGACAAGATCGCCAATCAGAATGTCAACGTATACAACATTGGCACTATGCCATACTAATGACATATCAACCTGAACTAGCAGCGTTGAGTCAACTCTGAATCCTTATTAGTTTTTCACGTCTAGCCTAGCCCGTTTGAATTCAGAAAACAATATCAGCCTCCATTGTATAAATCATATATTTCAGATATACGTTGTTTATATACAACCAAACCAGACAGCATCACATCGTAAAATAAAGAAAGTAATAATTATACAAGATCAAGCTAAAATTGGCTATGAGTACAGGAGACTGTAACTAAATAGATTGGGAATAAATTAAGAATAGTAACTCGTATAAAAGTAGCCAATATTGTCAAATGAAAGCTTATGATATAAAGAATGAGGATATATTTTGATGGAGTTTTGTTCTTTGAGCTGGATAGTTTGGTCGTGGAGCTTTCATCGTTTTTCTGAACGAAATCATCAGCAGCACAAACGTTAAGTGGAAGTGAAGTGAATGAGCATATATCCATAAACTAGTTACTTGATAATTATCTAATAAGAATGTATTTAATAATAGTTCATAAATAATTCCTAATAGTTACCCTTGATTTATTCTTCGTTCGGATATAAGATCGACAATACTTATGCATTCAATATCAGTTAGTGATAGTAAAAAATGCCTCCACTAAATTAATGAATGTTGGTTGTATTTGTCATAGATTGATCACAATTGGTGTATTATTATATACCATGAATCATTGGACAATTGTTTAGTTCTAGCATGACATTCCGAGCAGTGAGCACCCATGGTACTGCGATTGCAGGGACATGTTGCTGATGAACACACAAACTAACATGTAACCTAGATTCATGTTTTCCGGCCAACTACTTACAATCTCTTAATATCAATAAAATGGTTCATTTTTTTTTTTTTTTTTCTCTTCCCAAATTTCTTTCACTGGATTATACTCCTTAAATAACATCTCCAAACCCTAATCTTTCCGATTACTGCTTATACTCTTATTACCTCTACCACTACGGGATTCGAGTCGAGAACTGCATATCCGTGCTAATGTGGTGTAGCAACTCAAACTGATATACGTACGTACGAAGTTCTACGTTGTTGCTGACTGACTGGTTCATTTGATATCTAATCGTGGATTGGTTGATGTTAGAAACTATCACCATTGGATGCCTGCTCAGTAGTCCAGTTGGTCGAGCGTTCGCGCGCGAGACCGAAGGCCCTGGGTTTGAATCCCGCTCGCGGGATCGTGGATAAGGACTGCTAGGGAGTCCCACAGTAGGACGAAACGGCCGTCCAGTGCTTCCAGGTTTTGAATTATGATGGTCTAACATCAATCGGTTCATGATCTCAATCAAAAACTTGATATCTAATCATTTGGACTAATTGTTACACTCTAATTTGATCTATAAAATCCTCCTATCCATTTCACAAATGTTAATATTATAATAAACCCTATAATATTGCTTGAAAGTTAGTATATGCTCGTTTATTCTTAACTCTCTTTTCACATTTATTTATAGACGTTAATGAATGTGCTTCATATCCATGTTCATTTGGATCAACTTGTATTGATCGTGTTGGAACATATGAATGTATTTGTCCAGAACAACGATATGGTCGACATTGTGAAGAAGTGATGATTGAAACAGAACCAAAACCTCCAGCATGTAATTTTTATGGTCGAATTTACGATCATAATGACAATTGGACTTATAGTTGTCAACAATGTCATTGTAATAAAGGACAAATTATATGTACTGATGTAAGTATATACTACTAATTTTACTTTTACTTACGTCTGTTACTCCTCGTGAAAGAGCATAGGCCGCTAACCAGCATTCTCCATCCAACTCTGTCCTGGGCAATCCTTTCCAGCTCCTTCCAGTTCTTATTCATCCTTTTCATATCTGCTTACATTTCTCGACGTAATGTGTTATTTGGCCTTCCTCTGATGCTACTACTAAATAATAATTTTGTATTCACAAGTTGATATTTGCTGAGTAAATTAAAGCCATATTTTATTGTGGGAATGCTATGTTTGAAGAGATTACGAGTTCACCTAGTCTGAGAACAGAACAAAAACGACTCTATGACCAAAGACCAATAAGCTAGCTATTCTGACGCGTTCCAGCCCCGCTAACTAGAGAGAGAAATCAAAGTTCGAAATGGGGAAATAATTCCACAAGCAGATAGAAGCATAAGTAATAACAACAGACACAAATCAAACGTATATACACAGCATAAAATTGCCCTTGGGAACCGTTACAAAATAGCACACTAAAAATACAATGAACCAATAGCGTTCAAGAGTCTCCCAAGTGGGAAATACAACATGAAGGTAAAAATGAGCGTTTTTGGCGCGAAAACAAGAAATTCAAATTCCTAAAAAATTACAAAATATGGTATTCACCAAGTGAGTTCTGAGGATCTGATATCCTCAACAGCAAATGAATGAAAATCTAGATGAGGATAGTGAATTTATTACATTTGAATGGAGATTTTCTTTTAAACATTCAGAAAAAAAACAGATGAATCGATAAGAGAAATATTTTGATGGAGTTTTGTTCTCTGAGCTGGATAATCTGGTCGTGGAGATTTCATCATTATTCTGTACGACATCATCAGCACAAACTTCAGGTATACTTCTACCTACTTCTCCACGATCAAACCATCCAGCTTAAAAAACAAAACTCCATCAGAATTATACACCTGAGCTACAAACCTTCTCCACTATCTCATAACAGAAATATGTTTATTCAAATAGCTTGTCATTATGAGTAGAGAGAACAATTTTATGTAAGCAACATTAGATCTAACTTTCGTTCTATTTTAATTCATTCATCGGTGCGAAACAATCTTAAACATGATCCTATTCAATGATGCTATCACTGATTAATTTAAAGAGTGATTGATAATATGAAATATTTAAACTAATTAATCACTGAGTAGTAAAGAATGTGATATTCATCTACTCCATATTATTGATTGGATTCTTTCCACTAAGATAAAATCAGTCCTGTTAGGACACCTTAAGAAAGTCTTCAGCAGTTGGGAAAAAGTAGGAAAATAATTCATGCAACCAATTTTTAATACGAGCTTCATAGAAAGCTCTAGAAAAACGATGAATTGTGTAATATCTTAACTGAATAACTATTGACTTTTGATACTCAATTTAGTTTGTTCCATTAAAGCCTTCAGAATATCAACAGCATTCATAAACATACAAATTTCGTTTCTTATTGTAAAAAAAGCCATTATAATAGTGAAATTTCTTTCTCTACCCCCCCCCAGAGTTTTTGTTCCTTTCAGATTTTGGTGGAGTTTTGTTCTCTGAGCTGGATGGTTTGGTTGTGGAGCTTTCATCATTCTTCTGAATGACATCATCAGCACAAACTTCAGATAGAAGCGAAGTGTTCGAATTTCTCCATATGTGTTTCACAGCTTGTTCTGCGCACCTCGATGTTGATTGGTTCTTATTGACCTTAACAAAGGAAAACAAATCAAACATCATCTACAAATAAATTGTACCAACTGCGACAAACACTACATCGGACAAAGCGGACGCCCCCTCCACCTATGCCTACATGAACATCAATTAGCAGTCAAACGCCATGATATCTCTTCACTTATATCAAACACGTGGATAACTACGGACATTCATTCGATTGGGAAAATGTAGAAATCTTACACAGAGGAAACTCCAAAAACCAGAGAATTTTTAGAAGCTTGGCACTCAGGTCAATCAGCAATCAACAAACATATTGAAATCAATCCAATCTATCAACCAATCAGGAAAATCATGCATAAATATAGGAACAAAAATCAAAGCAATGGGAGACACAACCAAAACAAAGAAGTAAACAATGATAAATTTAAGGTCAACAAGAACCAATCAACATCGAGGTGCACCAACAAGCTGTGAAACACATATGGAGAAATTCGAACACTTCACTTCTATCTGAAGTTTGTGCTGATGATGTCGTTCAGAAGAACGATGAAAGCTCCACGACCAAACCATCCAGCTCAGAGAACAAAACTCCACCAAAATCATCTACCTGAATTACAAATCTTCTCCACCATCTCAAGTTCCTTTCAGAGTTCAGGTATAGGAATGTTTCTTTTAAGAAGTAGAATTAAGCTAAACATTCAGTTCCATTCAATTAGGGAACTGAACTTATCAAGTTCTCTTTAGTTTGCAGATACACCATATTGATAACTCAGAAAGAGGCTTTGTGGATATTATAGTAATTTAATTGTTGAATTCATGAGTTCATTGAAGCTAGACCATCATGGAAAACTGGAATCACTGAACGATCGTTTCGTCCTACTGTGGAACTCCTCAGCAATACTCAGCCAGGATCTCGCCTCACAAGATTCGAACCAAGGACTTATCAGTCTCACGCGCGAACGCTTAACCTCTAGACTACTGAGTCAGTCGGCATCCAATGCTGTTAATGCCTAGCTTCAACTAATCCACGAAATTAAGAGACACATCTACCATTGTTTTCAGTGAATTACTATCTCACAACTAACCCAGTTGAACTCCACTGATCACTACTTTTCACTAGAACTCCAAGAAATACCTCTTGGAAACTGTCCACTAATGAGAATATAATGATTATAATCACACAAAGTAGTTATTTATTTATTTATTTGAACACATAGAATTTGGTACAAGGGGGCATCAGATACATATGCGCCACACAAATCTCATTAGATTTGTGTAAGAGCTGTGATACTGCTCGGGTGCCCAGACCGAAGCAGGTGGTTTTCTTAGGGAGCCACCCCGAGCCTTTGACCTAAAGGTCTAACCCACAAGGCAGTGGAGTAACATAAGGAGATACATGCCCATGGTAGCCGGTGACCAACGATTGGTTCATACGCCATTTGTTCCCGCAGCATACTGGAGCCTATGTGCACTATTGGTTTAGGATCCGGTTAAAGTGCCAGACATTCGCTTTTTGTCCTCTCATTTCCGTAAACAACACCCTCTCCACGAGAAGGCAATGAGTAGGGCTTCCCTGGCAGAGGTTATATACGCATGGCCATGTGAGAGTATTTCAAGAGGGAGGGCGGGCCCACCCCACTCTCGGCCATACCAGCGCATTTGAGGGCAGATATTAATAACTTCTAACTAGTATAGAATCTAGAATTAAGTAAAACTTTATTTAATTGTTTCATATCACTTCATTTCTACACTTTAGGATTTCTGCGGATATTGGTCATGTTTACAAATTATTGGACGAAATGATCGTTTCGCTTGTAAAAATGGTGAAATATGTCATATTATCTCATCAAATAGTTTGAATAATAATGATTGTTTTGTACCACATGTTATTTACGTACAATTTGTTTAAATGCTAGTCAATCAATACAAGAACAATTAAAACAATTATTACCTAATTATTATTTTAAACAATCATTACCTGGTTGTCGACCAAATAGTTTTATATTAATAATCATTGTGCTAGATTATTATACATTTTTCTAAATTACGTATGTCATATTCAACGACTATTGATGATATATGTAATGCTGTAAAAAATTTACCATCATTAAAAAATATCATCACTATGGTAGTAGTAGTGGTGGTGTGTGGTGATGATGATGATGATGATGATGGGGGTCGTGGGAAATTGGATATCGGTATAAGTTGTGATATAAAAGCTGGTTATTCTATAGAACAACAAAATATAATAGAAGTAAGTTTAATTTTATTGGTATTTGATGTGAAATAAGTATTATTGAAGAAGATTATTTATCTTTATAGATATGCGCCACATAATGCACTTGTTTGGTGTGCGGACTGTGAACTGCCCGGATTCTCAAACTGAAACGGGTGATTCTCTTAGGAGGTCACACTCGGAGCCCTCGACCACAAGGCAGTGGAGCAACGTCAGGAAATACAGACCCATGGTAGTTGTTGATCAACGATTGGTTCATACGTCATTTGTTCCTTCAAGATATTGGAGTCTATATGCACCATTAGTTTGGAATCAGGATTTTTCAACACCCCCAAGGTGGACTCTCCGTATCCACCAACCCGATTAAAGCGCCAGATATTGCTTTTCGTCCTCTTAATTTCGTAAACAACAGTAATGCCGCGAGAAGGCAGTGAGTAGGACCTTCCTAATAGTGGTTGTATGCACGTGATCATATGAAAGCTGACTCTCCTCACTCTCAACCGTACTAGGGCACTCGGGGGCATCTTTTAATCATATAACCTAAACTTGATTTTTTTTATTCTTAAAAATGAAAGCATCATTAAAAAACAATAGAGGATTGAATATCTTTGGAAAACCTCGACAACACGTACATACATAATGACTCTAGACGGAATTAAGCCTAGGAGTGTCAATTCTCTTAGTGTAAGCATCATACTTGAATTCAATAATTGATACACAGAGTGATTATTATCCAATATTATCCATAATATCTGCCCTGATTGTTCCCACAAAGTGGGGACAACCAAATGTATTTAAACACAATCTTACAGAATATATCAGTAAAATCTGAGAACCAAACAGTAAATTCTTTATTAAAAAATGTCAATCAATCGTGTCAGACTTCATTGTTCCTTCATTTCCACACCACTCACTCTCTGTTCTCGTTCACTTCTCTTTGATCTTCTTAACTTTCTGGCATAAGGCACTTCACTTTCGATTGCTGATACATACTACTTATATCTATCGACATCAGTAGAATACACCAGACATTACATCAGTGATTAGATAACGACAAGTTTTGGTGAAATGTTATTCACTACAAAACCGTAATTTCACTTGGCGTTGATTGCTGACACCAACAGTATTTTGTCTGCTTGGTTTGACAGAATGATTATTATAATTTACTGAGGTTTCTCCTCCTTTAGCTTCTATCTCTGTAGTGTCATGTTTTAGATTTACCAGGTGTTCACACTTTGTAGTAATCATTTGTAATGTCATTCCATTATCTTCAAAGCAGAATAGTAATCGTGTTCACACTTCAGCATCTGTGGGTAATTGTAGTCTAGAAAACAACGATGGACATTTAAACTGATCAGTTGATAATCCATTTAATTTAAAGCGATCCGCTTGTAGAATAATCTTGCTTGCGTATGCTAGATAATCTTCATCAACTTCGTTGGTTAACCGGAGGCATTTGTAACTCTTTTGTGTGATTTGACAGGATCATTTTTTATATTTGTATTATTCTTGTGGGTCAAAATTTTGTGTTGGCAGTCTTACCTTTGAACTAGGCCAGTGGATATGGACAGTAATGTAAATAAACTACACTGTCCCAAAGAAATAAATATTGCACGAACCTACTCCAGTTATTAGCTACCACAGAATTGTATTCCCTGATGCGATTGTGTTGTCTAACGGACAGAAATTTAATGTTAAAGATTCGAGAGATAGCGGGTAGGCAAACTGTTAGTTTCGGTTTGGATATAGTTCAGTGAACAAAATTATCTGTCCTTGTATACACTATCAACATATTATCCAATATATCATGTTTATTCTTTTCCCATTACCTAAAAAAAAGGTAACACTTAGTTCATTGAATGATCAAGTTCGAATTGGTCCAGATGGTAGAGAAGATTCATTTATTCATGAATTAGCTAGAAATTTATCTAAAGAAGCTTATTTAGCTGCATCAACTAATTTAAAATTACGTAAAGATAATTTGAAACTATTCAATAGTGGAGTGACATGAATTATGAGTTTGCCAATATGATAGTAATGATGAGGATGATGATGATGATGATGAAGGCATACCGTTACCGCCGATGTCTATGATTTTAGGCACTGATCAATTAGATGATTATGGCATAGAGTATTGCTTGGTATAGTCGAAATTCAAGTTGATACAATGGTTGTAAATGAAAAGGATTCGGTAAGTGTAAATATTAAACAGTATTCAATTTAATAACTTTCAATCCCTTTGTTCTGCATGATTTTGATGCATATTAGTTGTCTGTTTACTTATATTGTGATAGTTTGCTATGTACTACTTTATGATGTGAAATTCCCTTAGAAGGTGAAGAATACGAAGAGGTTGTAAGGTTTTGAATATAGGTATCTTTGAATAATCACTCTCAAAATAGTGAAAACAGAGGTTTGAGGTTACGTTTATGGTACGAGGCAAATTGGATCGGAATTTACATCGAATTTGGGGCATATAGTACATAATGTAAGTTGATGAGTTTTATAAAATAATAGGACGAACAAAAACGGCAGCAATTCATTACATGGATTTATTCTAACATCAACACGATATTGTTCTTAAAAGAATATGATTATCGGTAGAAATAGTATGAAGAAAGTTTCAGTCGTGATATTTTTAATATCAGTCAGTCAGTGATCTTGAAGGCTGTTAGAGGTAGGAGGTTAGTTATCACTTCCCGGTTGTCCACACCGTGTAAGGGTTCTTATAGAGATACCTGAAAAAGAAATTGGGTTAAAATTGGTATAGTGACCTGAGAGCGTGATCGCAGTGCTCAATGGATAACTGCTTAAGTCGTTCACACACATTTTTGTGTTAGCTCCATACTTGTTGGGACCTTACCACTGGAGACGGATACCGTGGGATAAGCGAGATGTACATTTTTAGGGTCGACCTTTTCTAACCCCACCTTCCTTGTGGGAAGGCGTATCGCTGTTATGCTGGTTGTCTGAGGAAAAACCTCAGTGCCATAACACCTCTCTACAGTCAGCAGTACGACTTCGCCGTCAGACCTTGGTTGTTACTTTAGTGTACTGTTCTTCAACCGACCTGTCTGGGCGTATGGTAGAACCTTGAGAAAAAACGATTGTTCCAGCCAGTATAGCTCGACCACCATTAAAGGTAGCAACAACGGCAGGATTTATATATTGTATTTCATTA